TGTACATACCTTATTTCTAATTTTGTTTCTGATTATGCTTTCTCACCCTCCTATCAGAGTTTTCTTGTTTATGTTGCCTTCGTTCCTGTTCCTTCTAGTGTTGCAGATGCACTAACACAAACCTCAATGGTGTGATGCTATGACAGAAGAATTACAAGCACTTGAGAAAAATCAAACTTAGGACATGGTTCCGCTTCCTATTGGACGAAAGGTTGTGGGTTGTCGTTGGGTGTTTACAATTAAGCATAATCCAGATGGGTCAGTTGCTCGTTACAAAGCCCGATTGGTTGCCAAGGGTTATGCTTAGACTTATGGCATAGATTATCAGGAGACTTTTGCCTCTGTTACCAAGATGAATACCATCCGTGTATTATTTTCAGTTGCTGCAATTCGATCTTGGCCTCTATTTCAGTTAGATGTCAAGAATGCCTTTCTCAATGGTGATTTGCAGGAGGAGGTGTACATGGTTCCTCCTCCGGGCTTTCGTTCTCTTGCTCATTCTGGTATGGTATGTCATCTTCGTCGTTCTCTGTATGGCCTCAAGCAGTCTCCTCGAGCTTGGTCTGATCGCTTTGGTACTGCTATGCTCAAGTTTGGTTTCCATCAAAGTGCAGCTGATCATACCTTGTTTTTACGTCATTCAAGCGGTAAGATAGTTGCTCTCATTGTGTATGTCGATAATATTGTTCTTACCGCGATGATACTACCGGAATTGATGAGGTTAAGAGTTATCTTGGCTGTCAGTTTGAGATTAAGGATCTTGGTCCCCTGCAGTACTTCTTGGGCATTGAGGTGGCTCACTCCAAGACTAGCATTTTCATCTCTTAACGCAAGTATGTTCTTGACTTGCTTTCTGCTTCTGGTCGGCTTGGCGCTTGTCCTGCTGATACTCCGATTGAGCAGAATAATCGGTTGGCTGATTCTAAGGGGGAGTTGTTGTCAGATATTGGTCAGTATCGACGACTTGTGGGGAAGCTCATCTATTTATCCATGACTCGAATTGACATTGCGTATGCCGTGAGTGTCGTGAGTCAATTCATGCACTCTCCTCGTGCCCCTCACCTTGCTGCAGCTATTCGGATCCTTTGCTACTTAAAAGGGTGTCCAGGCCGTGGTATTTTGTTTGCCAATCATGGCCACTTACGTGTTAAGGCTTGGACAAATGCTGATTATGCAGGATCAATTTCAGATAGGAGGTCTACTTTAGGTTATTGTACCACTATTGGTGGTAACTTGGTTACTTAGCGCAGTAAGAAGCAGGATGTTGTCTCTTGATCTAGTGCAGAGGCAGAGTATAGGGCTATGGCTCTTGGGGTAGGTGAGTTGCTTTGGCTGAAAACCTTGATGACAGACTTGTGCCTTCTAGTGTCGCTTCCATTCTCACTCTACTGCGACAACAAGTCTGCCATTAGTATAGCAGCAAATCCCGTTCAGTATGACAAGACTAAGCAGATAGAGGTGGACTGTCACTTCATTCGAGAAAAGATCATCTCTGGTCAAATTTGCACTTCATTTGTCACAAGCTCTCAACAGCTTGCAGACATTCTTACAAAGGGCGGCAGCAAGATTGTGTTTGAGAATACATTGTCCAAGTTGGCATTTCAGATATTCACGCACCAACTTGAGGGAGAGTGTTAGCATATATGATACCACGATTTATGGTATGACTTACCATAATAGCAGAGATTTGACTATACTATAAAATATGCCATAGAATATGCTTTCGAATAAGTTGTGATTTGATTTTGATTTAATTTAGCTTCCTTTCTTGTAATATGAGCATGTGCTCATTTTATCTATAAATACTAGAGCTGTGAATGAGTAATTCATATCATTCAAGCCTTTACGCAATTCTCTCCTTTCTCTTCTTTTTATATATTTCTACTGTTATATTTGTTAGCCCCAAGTTTTGAAGTCAAGTGGAACTTGGTAATTTTGATTATAACAAGATATTAGTGCGAGTATTTAACAGCCTACTTGAGTGTAAGTGAATTACAGGTTTGCTATTCAATCTCAAGAAATTAAGTTAATCTATGGATGGTGCATCAAGATTATATTCAATTTAAAGTACATGGACTCGAGCTTACGACCGAACCCAACACATGGCGAAGGAACTATATTCACTGAAGATCAAGTTCAAGACCATAAGGCATTTGGGGTTGGTGAGTGTTAGAATCAATGTAAAGTATTGGTTATATTGCAAGATGATTCTATGCTCAACTATAGGATTTAATAACCGGACCTAGGCTAAAAGACAAATTGTTTTCTTGGTCCCGAAAGTTAAATGACTCAGCTCTCACTTTATTTCAAAATTAAAAAGCAAGGGCGATGTAGTCATAAAGGGTCACCTAGCGTTTCGCATTAAGAAACCATAACGCTTTAATACAAATTAAAGTGAATAAGGACAAATTGCTTGTTTGTACAAGTCATCCATATCCATTAACATGGCCAAGCTTAGTGGATAATATCTAGAATACTATGTACGGACCATAGAATGTTTTGTAGCACTGCTAGAATAACATTCTCCTTCGCTCAGCTGGCTTATAGTTGGAGCACAAAAATGCTCTCAAAAAAGACCAGCAAGGCGTCTGCTCTACTAAGATAGACGACTACTATAGAAGAATGGTTGAGGCTTGGACAGATGCTTCTGGCTACTGTGCTACTCTTGGTGGCAACTTGGTTACTTGGCGTAGTAATAACCAGGATGTTGTCTCTCGATCGAGTGCAAAGGCAAAGTATAGGGCTATGGTGAGTTGTTATGGCTGAAACGTTGATGACAGACTTGTGCCTTCTAGTGTCACTTCCATTCTCACTTTATTATGACAAGAAGTTTGCCATTAGCATTGCAGCAAATCCCATTCAGCATGACAGGACGAGGCATACAGAGGTTGACCGGAACTTCAGTCAAGAAAAGATCATTTGCAGTCAGATTTATACTCCGTTTGTCACTACCTCTCAGCAGCTTGCAAACATTCTTATGAAGGGCGTCAATAAGACCATGTTTGAGAATGTATTGTCCAAGTTGGGCATCTCAGATATGTAACAATTTTGGGCCACCATTGATTATTATTTTATCTTGATATTTGAAGCAAACACAGGTTGACGATTAACACCAAATAATGAGTTACAGGACACCCTATAAAGATGTGATATTTATAAAGTTATGGATTATGCTGTACCTTAGTCACATGTGATCATATGTCTTGAGATATGGATAAAAAATAACTATAATTACCTATCATGATACGGATTACACATGATTGGAGTAATCTGATAGACTCCTTGATGGGAGGAATATTATCCGATAATATCTATATACAACCTTGGTCCCCACTCTCACACACACGCTCATTTCGATTTAGTCTAGCCCCATTGAATAGACGTCTGAGTAAAAGTGGAGAGGATTGAAGATCAAAACAATATTCTATTGTTTATTTCATTGAGGTTGCAGATCGAAGCAAATGTGAAGAGCAAAAACAAATCAAAGCAGATGTGAGATGAAGAGCAAAACAGGTGATTGGACTTATTCAGTTTCTAAGCTTCCGCACGTATGTTTAACCTAATTATATTTAGGTAGTGTCTTATGTATGTGTCTGATATCCTAATTCAGTTTACAAGATATCCACGCACCAACTTAAGGGGGAATGTTACCTGAGATATGATAGCCTAGAATCATGGAATAGCCTAGAATTATGGAATTCAACTTTATTTACGCGAATGTATAGGCATGGAGTCTGCAGTGATTTTTTTTAGTTTCCTTTCTTGTAATATTAACATGCTTTTTTTGTATTTAAATATCACAGTTGTGAATGGGTGGTTATTCTCATTTAAGCATTTACATATTTTCTTGTATTTCTTCTATCTTGTATTTCTTTGAATACTGTTATGCATAAAATATGTTAACAATATTTTTCTTTTATTTTTATTTTTTTCCACAAGGAAATTTCAATTCTGCATGACGAGCAAGATTGGATGATCAATGGGGATCAAGATTTCTTGCATCACGGCTTAGGGTCAAGAAATTGACTGAAAGGTAGAGGACTTCTATGATTCTTCCTCTTTGCACTTTTGCCCTGAAGAGAGATTGATAGAGTAAAAGAGAAAGAAACCAAGTCGAGGAGATGAACTTACTGTGGGTTGCGGGGGAGACGGAGAGAGTCAAAGACACCTTGACAAAGAGCAAGACAAGACCCAAGAGCTTGAACTGCACATGACTTGCACCTACTATTGGAGACGGGGAAAAGATAAATACAATTAGGGATTTTTTGCAATTTAAGGTTACATATTTATGTTTATTATTAATTTTGGTAACTTTTAGTTTTAGAGATATTTTCACATTGTCCTATTTATAAGGTCTCTTACATTTGTTTATGAGTTTTGCGCCTATATAAAAGCTCGTATGTTATCAGAATATCAAGTTTTGGATGATTATGGAATATTTAGTAGTTTCCAGACTTCTTTGAGCTCTTCCTCTTCATTATTCTTACTCTTCTCAACCCTTCAGTCTCCCGTCTATCTTTTCAATTTTTCTTCTCACCCCCTTCGTCTTTCGTCTCATCCCCTTTCTTCTAGCCTCATCTCATCTTCTGTCTTGTCATCTCCTTCTTCCTTTCTATTGATTCTACATTAACTGCGTTTTGGTCCTACATCAACTTTGTGAGAGAAAGAGAGATGAGAAAAGAAATAACTGGGAACGATTAAAATTTAAGGAACCTTTTGAAAATTTTGAGACGGGCATATTTAAATTCTAATATAATGTGGAGAGAAAAAAATAAATAGAAAAAATTGTTGAGCGGGTGCAGCTGCCCCCATTGGGCCATACCCAGCTCCACCCCTAATGGCCTACATTCAGGAGAAGTCAAGGTGTTGGATTTATTTAATATTAAGATTTTCCATTGACTTTAGATATTGGAACACAAATTCAGGTAACAGAGGGTGGCTAAACGGAATAACACTAATACTAAAATAAATTAATACAATAGAGAAGTTACAGGATGGACCTTTGGATCGGTGACTGAAAGAAAAACAGGAGATGCCGTGTGAAAGACACCTTCACAACCATCAACTGCAGAATCAAAAGATCCTTCTTCGGTTAGGTTTGCTTCAAACAGATGTAGTCTTTCCTTAGCTCCATCAAGTGCAAGTAAGTGAGCTGTCTTCTTTGATTCATCTGTAGCATATATAAAAACAATTACTGAGAATTAGCAGAACGGATGAGTCAGTTGAACATGCAGAAAGCTATTAATTGGCTAAAAGAGCCTGTGGTCATAATGATGTCTCTCCGAGACATGGCCTGCCAATTTGAGTTCATCCTAAAGAATATGACTTCCAAATATGGGTAGAATTAACAAAAAGGGAAATTCAATATGCAGCACTGCAAGGTCTGAACCATCTTGATACATGACATGTCCAGATGCACCAGCACCCTTCCCAAGGTAGATTCTCAGACAAAAAATGAGCCCTCAAAGAGTGTCAGCCATTGGATTTGGGTGTTGATCCAAGTATATTGCTACAGCTTATATGATATTGATCCCGGAGAAAATACCCAGCTCAATCAAATGTCAGCTCCTACAGGGTTATGTGCAGTTTGGTAATTGTCCAAATGAAGGCATCTGATGATCAGTTGTGACTCCTAACCATGGCCCCTATCACATAACAGCTACCACAGAAAACGCTGCCTAAGAAGCATGTACGGACTGTCCTAGAGATAGCACATCTATATAATGCAAAATATATTAAGAATTGATTGATTTACTCCCAAAATTTTTAGAAGCAACTTTAGAAACTAAAAGATATTAAAATCCAATACATCCTTTTTGTGAGCGGCTGAGACTCCCATTTTGTTTAATGTTTATAATTTTATTTTTCTTTTTGGTCAAGTGAGTATTGGTGTAACTGCCACTATCATTTGTCGAAAGTTACTGAACTTGAACCAAAATTAAAATCATCATCTTGAATGTTATTCTATGTTTTTCTTATAAAATGTGGGTGACTACATGAGGTAAGGAGAAAAATCATTCTTAAAATAGTATAGTTGGTCCATATGTTTGTTTACCATGGGTGCAACTCATTTAAGATATGCATATGCATACATGAACAGATCTACCAGCATAAGTACATAGATATGAACTTTTATGTACTTGATTGTGTGTGTGTGTGTGTGTGCATAACTATGCTTTTCCAAAGGTTAATATTTGAAAAACTTGTCAATTGCATGCATAATCACGTCTTCGCAACATGTGATGTCCATTTTCATGATGGCAATTTTGCAGGTGCAAAACAGAAATCGGTTCATTTCTCGAATAAAATAGAGCAGATCGTGTCGACAGTTGAATTCTCTATTTGAAAATAGTATAGGACATTATGATTGAAGATGAGCATGAAAAATAATAACTTAATTGTCACAAAATTGGTGCAAGACACATTTGGACAGCAGAAGTACTATGCTTCATTGTCTCACGAGGGAGATTCACTGGAAACTCATTTGCACCTTGATCAATCAAAAGTGGGATAAATTAAGTCCCAAGGAAGTAACATTCTAACACGCCTTAAAATACAATGAAAGCCACTTTCCTTCTATTTTTAATTATATTGATTATTTTCTTCCATATTTCAAAGTGGCATTCTAACACACCTTGAAACCCAATGAACGCCACTTAGAATTAACATTCAGAGAGGTGAAGATCACATCTTTAGTGATTTTTACAGGTTGGACATTGAATGTATAGCCCTTTTATTTCTGAGCTTGGTTCAATCCCTGTGTCCAAAATCCAAAAGGAACCCATGCATTTGTTAAGAGAATAGTATGTGATAGAGGTAATTCTGTAAATTAATTTTTTCATCAATAGAAGTGGAGGTGCAAGTCGTCCCAATGGTTAAGTTCTCTATGCTTATTTATTCTCTTCCCTTTTCACCTTATTTTTCACTGACTTTTCTTCCTGAAAGAATACTAGAGGCTCAAGACACACGAACGCCCTAGCTCTGGTAGACAGATACAGTGTCTTCATTTAATGTCTGAACAACTTCTCATAAACCAAATGACTGACCTTCAATCTGATAGTGGGTTATGTAACATCCCTCATCCTACTTCAATCTGATAGTGGGTTATGTAACATCCCTCATCCTACTACTCCCCATAATAAGCACGTACGCTTAATTGTAGAGAAGAGTGTTGAACCTACATTCACCTTTACATTCCCCAGGCGATGTGGGATTATGACACCCGTAGCCTGCTAGTGTGATAGCTCGTTCGGTGTCTCGCACCCTGCCGTAACAATCACCACCGCCCCCCCCAGGGTCCAACATCCTCGTTGGCTACACTTTCGGCTGAGTTCCAACTCTGATACAATTTGTAATGGCCCTCACCTACCTAACACAATATTGTGTGTTTTTGACTCCCCAGCATAAACATGCTTAACTACAGAGTTCTGATGGATTCACGGCCATCGTGGCTTTAGAATGCGTTGTGTCATAGAAGGGTATTGAATCTATATATATCACTTTACCTTCACCTTCCCCAGCCGATGTGGGATCATGACACCCGTAATCTGCCAGTGTAGTAACTCGTCTAGTGTCTCACACCCACCCACATCACACTCGCCCATAGAGGTCTGGTTAAGTAATATTTTCATAATCCCATAAATACCCTCAACAATTAAAAGAAGAAACTTGACACTTTGAGTCCCACCTTATAAGAGGGAATGATAATAATTTAGTTGTTATCATTTCATTTCTTTTCTCTCTTCTACCTTTTCCAAAAAAGAACACTATCATTTCCTTTTTTTTCATTCATAATTTATCCAAACATGAATCAAGATTATTGTTATTCTTTCTTTTCTTTTCTATTCTATTCTCTCATAACTAATCTTATCGTCGTTTGAATTTTGGCATGCCCTCATTTCTGATTGATCAAGTTGACCGCTCACTTGGAGGCCAAACAGTTTCTCAGTCCATTAACCCAATAACCTAGATACCCATCACTTCTACTACAAATTGAAACTGAAGTTGGGTTCACAAACCCATATCAAGAAATGGGTACCACTCAAAATTTTAAATTTACTATTAAAACTACGAAAATTATTCTAATTTATAGAGAACAATACTTGTGAACGAAATACAAAAATCAAATACAAATTCCAAACCCCGAATTTGATAATAAGATGATTCAAAACAGTATATGGTAGAAAAGAATAACATTGTAGTGAAATTGAAGACATAAAAGAAAGTGAGAAGAGAAATCAATGGATAGAAGGGAAAGAGTGTACTGACTCAGGCTGCGAACAGTAGCATTGACAGTGTAACCACGCTCCAGCAACAACTTCACCAGCCACGAAGCTATGTAACCGGACGCCCCTGTCACGCACACCACTTTCCCTGCGCCTGCACTGCTCATCTCTCTCTCCTCTCTATTTCTCTATCTGAAATTATTGCTTTGCTGCTATTGTAACTACTCCATATGTTTTTATGTCTACCCTGTGATGAGTCTGGTGACGAATGGAGTGACGATGGTGGTAGTTGTTGATGTAAGAGAATATGTCAGCTTTTAGCTGGCAAAGTGGAGTAGTTCAAATACTAGAGCATCCGTTGTCCCGAGTGCAACCGGATAGTCATTCCTGCACTTTAAAAAATTGTGTCTCGTTAGTAATTGTGCTAATGTAATTTTACATTTTTTTTTTCAGATTTCTTTTCTCCTAACGTGTATTTTCTTTTTGACTCTATTTTATTATTTTAAGAGTTTATTTAGTTAAAAAATTAAAAAAAATTAATATATATATTTTTTCAACAACAACTATATTCCTGACTACTATATAATTGTTTGTTTCGATTATATGTTTTTAAAAATTAAAAAAAATATATTAAAAAAAAACAATGATATTACATATGTATAAAAAAAGTACATTACATACCTTCTAATAAATAGAAGAAAAAAATACATTAATATTTTCCCACATACAAAAAATAAAAAAAAAAAAATTAAAAATGTTGATCTCATGATGGAACATTTGTGGAATCAATTTGGTGATGAAGATGTTTAAACTTAGTGTAATCGAATAAATTGTAATTTTTATATTATTATATAAATTAATTAAATTATTATGCAAAAATAAATCAATTAAATTAATAAGTCAAAAAGTGCATCTCTTCTTTTTTAAAAAAATAATAATAATTAAATTCTTATCGAAATTAAATTATGACTCTTTTTAAATTAAATAATTGATATAGTGCACCATAAAAAAAATATATAATAAAATTTAAACGATTGCATACTATATTTATTTCAAGCGTCATCACACACCATCACTTTTTCTTTTTAAAACAAAAGTGAAAGCAAGGGCCCCACATGCAAAATCCCTCTCCAAAGCGTTCCATTCACCACAGGGCAATCCATTGGCCAAAGCAGGGATTGCGCCATGGATACTTTTAGGTAGACTTGTTAAAGAGAATTGGTTGATCAAACAACATTGATTGGTCAAGTTTGCAAGTATATGTATTGCATTTGTCTATCTTTTTTATAAAAGATAACCCCTAAGTGATCTGTCACATTTTTTTTTATAGATAAAGTAGTCTTCGTAAGCTTTAACATCGTTAAGGATACATAGAAATAATTCTTGTCCCATTTTGAATCGTATGTGAAAGTATTCCGGTAAATATGTGCAATTTTCATCAAAATAGTTTTCATTAATTGACGATAATTTCCCTCTCGATCATAATGAATGTTCCGTCGCTTATGCGGTTAAAAGACTGCTTTACCGTTTGGCCTTATTGAATTCAAAAGCTAATTGTAAGGGTCTTGATTCTATTGAATTATAATAATAAAAAATTATTATTATTACTTTTTTTTAAAAAAATAATTAAAATATTAGTATTATTTTTTGGAGAGTGAAAACGCTTCATTATGACACATTTGATAGCCAATATTTGAAAAGTCCAAAATGCTGATGTGTCTCTTAAAAACATTGACGTGACAAATTCGAATAGTTGGATTTTGGAGATTCCTAATATCTGTGTGTGTATATATATATATATATATAATTCTACAGTACCTTGTACATTTTGGCAAATTTTCTCATCGGGGTTGCAACTAACCGCCTTTATCTATTTGAAAATTGAAAGTTACAATTTACTCCCCTATTCTGTTAGGTATAATTTGTCATTTTACAAGGTAAAATAAAAAAGTAAACGGCCAATAACAATAATAATTAACAACTCAACTTTTAAGGGATGATTCACAACATTTTCTTAACACTTTGAAGAGGTTATGGGCAAAAACGAAAGTTGAAAGGGGTAATTTACAAAATCATAAAAGTTAAAGGATTTTTATTTGCAGTTGAATCTAATTATGATGATTAATACAATAATAATAGGAAATTAGAGTTACTCCCTCTAGTTAACTGAAAGAAATTCATTCATGATACTAATCCATCATGCTTTAGATTCCATTTCCGTTGACAGTGAATGCCTAAATGTCAATCTTTAGTTATTTCAACATATGAAAATTTTAGAATACCATCTTTACCCTTAAAATGGGTGATGATTCTGATGACACTGAATGTTTTATGAGAGTAAAGTAGTGAGCTTATTTAAGTGTAAGGGGGAAAACACAAAATTTTCATTATCCCATTGTTTGACCCATTGTTTGACAGTGTTTGAAAGTGTAATTTTTGAATACTACTAGGTCAGTGTAAATTTTCCTAATGACAATAATTAATGTAATAAGTTTTTTCTCATAATTTTTATTTTATTTTTATTTTTTAATAATTTCTTCTTCTTATAACAATATTTTCTCATAGGGTCTGTTTGGTTAAATAAAACTTTATGATAGAAAGTGAGGTGAAAGAAGAGAAAATCAAGTTTCTACCATGCATTTGGTTAGTATGAAATTTTTTCAAGAAAGTTATAAGAAAATATGATTTTTTTAATTTAGGTAGGATGAAAGTGAAAAGAAAGTGATTCTACTCACCAAAACTACTCTTACATCAGTTAAAATTTAATTGTGCAATGGATGATAAAACAAAAAATTTATAATAAAATAAGGCAATTAGAAGTTGAATTAGACATAATTAGAGAGCAGCTCAACCAAATATTAATATTTTTTTCTTTTATTATTATTATTTTTGTAATAAGTGTATTTTTTTTAATTTATTTTTGAACCTCCATATTAGATATTTTATTTTTTTTCATTATTAATCACTATTTAGTATTTACGTCTATAGGGTTGGTGGATAATATTAAAAAAGAAACACTTATCCTATTTTATTCCTATTTTATTGAAAGAAAAAAAAAATCATAAAAATATTCTGACATAGTCACAAAAGAGAGAGTTATCCAAAAATAAATACAAATAAGTTAGTTGGATAAAATAGGAAAGTCAAATAAAAAGACTCCTTTCACGGAAAAATAATATTTTTGTATGTTTTATTGGTGAATATTTTTTTGGGAAAAAATAGGCAGATGCTGGAAACCAATTTTCTCTTTCCTTTCTTTTTTAGTTAATTCCACCTAACCAAACGAAGCCATAATGAATAGTTCACATTGCCAACAAAATGTGAACTAACTTGTGACCAAGACTTTGTCCCTTCAAACGTTAATATACCTGCCCATAATTAGTTCTAATGTTGATACTCGAACTGTATCAACACGAACAACTCCAACTCCCCCCCCCCCCCCAAAAAAATAATAATAATAAAAAAAATAAAAAATAAAAAAGAAGGCTAGTGGACATCACTATATGTTCAAAACTTCTGCTGCTTTCTAACCCCGAAGGCCGGAGGGTAGTTGAACTTCCCCGGATACAACTGTTGTATCATGTAAAACCAAATTCCTTTGCCGGCCGACCTATATCATTCATTTCTAATTCTCTAATCAGCTAAAACCTGAAATGTATTGTGTCAGTCACATTATACTAATGCCAATGACCGTTTAGTACTCAACGGTCTTTTAAATTTTAAATTCTTAACAACAATAGTTTACATGAAAAGTGATGGCAACTCAATCTAAAAAATGCGCATTTCGTGGACTTCTTCAGTATCAAGAAAACTGATCTCATATATAGAAAATTAGCTGTTCATGGTTGTTCATTGTTTGAGACTTAAGAGTTGAACTGATGGGAAGAATTTCAATTTTTTTTTTGATTTTTGCTATTATCAGTATCACAACAACAAAATTTGCTTGTAATGGTGATGCCAATGTCACACATTGTTTAGAATCAAATCGTGAGGCACTTATTGAATTCAGAAATGGCCTGAAAGATCCCGAGAACCGGCTCTCATCATGGCATGGAAGCAACTGTTGTCAGTGGTGGGGGATCAGGTGTGATGATAGAACTGGAGCTGTCACTGTAATCGATCTTCACACCTCGTTTCCATCTAGCTTTGATTCTGCAACCAGGTATGGATCTTGGAACTTGACTGGACAGATTAGACCTTCATTGCTTAAGCTCGAGTCCTTGATACATTTAGACTTGAGTCTCAACACATTTCAGGACATTCCAATACCTGGATTCTTTGGATATCTGAAGAATTTGCACTATCTAAACCTGTCAAATGCAGGGTTTAGTGGCATAATTCCTCCCAATTTGGGAAACCTCTCTAGCTTGATATGTCTTGATGTTTCTTCTGAATCCTACAGTCTAAGGGTTGAAAATCTTCAATGGATGAATGGCCTAGTTTCACTAAAACATCTTGAGATGAACCGTGTTAATCTATCTTTGGTGGGTTCAAGCTGGGTAGAGGTACTAAACACATTCCCATTTTTAACTGAGTTGCATCTTTCAGGATGCAGCTTGTCTGGTTCCATTTCATCTCCTAGTTCTGTTAATTTCACTGCACTTGAAGTTGTAGATCTTAGTTATAACAGCTTCAACTCGAAATTCCCTGATTGGCTTGCAAATCTCACCAGTCTTGTACATGTTGATATGAGTAATAGTGCCCTGCGTGGAAGGATTTCGCCTGGTCTCAGTGAGCTTCCAAGCTTACGGTACTTAAACCTTGCAGCCAACATTAACCTTAGTGCCAGCTGCTTTGAACTGTTCCGGGGAAGCTGGAGAAAAATAGAGGTTCTCAATTTCGCTGAAAATAAATTACATGGAAAACTTCCTTCCTCCATTGGGAACATGACATTTCTAACAGAATTTGATCTGTTTACTAATAATGTTGAGAGTGGAATCCCCAGCTCCATTGGTAAACTTTGCAAGCTGATAAATTTTGATTTATCTGGTAACAACTTGACAGGAAGTTTACCTGAATTACTTGAAGGGACTGGATACTGTGTTTCCAAGAGTCCTTTGCCTAGTCTTTTGTACTTGAGATTGAGCAACAATGGGCTAATTGGTAAATTGCCAGAATGGTTGGGTCAGCTTGAAAATCTTGTGGAACTTGGACTGAACGATAACTTGCTTGGAGGTCCCATCCCTGCATCGTTAGGGACACTGCAAAATTTAACCAATATTGGACTTGGAGGGAACGGATTTACTGGGACTCTCCCAGACAGTTTTGGGGAACTTTCAAAATTGTCTGTCTTGGATGTTTCTTCCAATCATTTGACAGGTACCATCTCA